GGAGCTCGGAGACGTTTCTCTGGTATCGTTTCTGATCGCCAGTGGCATTATCCAGGGGTGTCCAGGTTCGGGATTCTCATTTGCGCTGGGAATGGGCCCGTTTCTGCAGCGCTTCCGTGGCAAGATCGACTCGCCCGCCGACGACATCACTCGCGCTTGCGCCGACGACATGGGCGTGGCCTTGCGTCGCCTTCGGCGCCTTTGCCTGCTTTCCAGGTCTTCGAGGCTGCTCGGATCATTGTGCAGCTGCAGGTACATGCGGCAAAGTGTAAGATCGTTCCTGTGGGCGCCCTATCACCTCGAGGTTCAAGTTGCGGATTAAAGTGTGGCTCCTGTAGAATATCACCGATGGGAAAGACTTCGAAGTGGGTGGCGAGCTGGGGTGCCTCGGCGCGCTTCCCGGCCCCGGCGCGTCTCCCGAGGGCCCCTGGATGAAGCCGATGGCGAAGTGGTGGTCTCGAGCGCAGGCCCTCGGGGGCCAAGACATTTCCCTTGTGGTCCCGGCTGGCAACTGCCGGTAGAGGTGCCCTAGCGTGCCCTCGTACGTGGCACAGTGCCCCCCTCCTCCTGCTCGCCTCCTTCATGACGAATATCGCGTATCCCCGAGATTCTTTAACATGCTGTATCGTGCCCCCCCCCAATGCCGATTGGCACAACTTATTCAGATGGGGAGGCCCTAAGACCAGCAGTGCGCATGCAATGTATCATTCTGCGCTAATGAGGGCAGCTGGTTGCCCGTTTGCTTGTTGGAGAGAGAGGGGATGGAGCTCCTCGGTGAAGCAATCCTCCTTGGGATTCCCCGAGAACTTGCCCGTGCTGGTGCTGCTGCTGCGGAAGCTCTCCAGGTCGCTCGAGAGCCCTCCCCCCGCCGAGACCCCGAAGCAGTTGAATCCCCAGAAGATATGCACATCCTCCTTCAACCTCGCGCTGCGCCCCGACAACCTCCTGGACACCTTCCAGAGGCGTCTCAGTCGTTGGCGACCTGATGCTCGCTCGATCATCCTGCTCGTAGACTAGGAAAACATGAGATTGGCCCTCCCCCCCTTCCTCCCGCCCGTCGTTCTGCTGTCCTCGAGACCTATGGACTTTGTCGATGCGCGTCCGCTCGGTTCCAGGAGACCCGAGGATGTTTTCTTGGGTGCCATGGTGCAGAGGACTCTTTTGCTCAGTCTGGAGCTGCAGCGTCTTTCTATGGCTCCTAGTAGTGCAGACAGGGCGCTTAGTTGGTGGAGAGCCCATCTCACGTCTCGGGTTGTCAGATCTTTCGGAAAAGAAGTTTCGCGCTGTGGTGTTCGCGTTTTTCTCTTTATGATGCGCTGAGCGCGATGCCCAAAGATCGGGCGGGGCAGATCCCGCTGAAGCAGGCGAGGTCAGTCCCCGCCGCGGTCAGGCAACAGGTGCGCAGGCCATGTTCACCGGCGAGCTGAGCACCTGGGACCCGGCCACGCTCGAGGAGGACGGGGGGGGAGGGGGCGAGTCGAGAACCCCGCGGGCCTGCAGGAAACAGCGGCCAGCGGCGAAATGCTGGCCCCCCACCCTCGGCGGCGGCGACGGGGTCGAGGGCAGCTCTTGGCGGCTCGCGCCGCGAGGCCAGGACTGCGATGCAGGGGGCCCGTGGAGGAGCGATGTTGGCGGCCAGGCTCGCCCCGCCCGGTCCTTATTCATCGTGCTATGGCAAGCGGGCCGGGCGATCAAAGTCGGGGGGCCCAGCCGAAATCTCGGTGGATCTCCGCCGCGTTGGGGGCGTCGTGGTCAGCGTTTCGGTGCGGGCGCGCTGGCTTCAGTCCGATCTGGGGCCCCGGAGAGGCCCGAAGCCTTCGCGTTCTGGGCTATCGGTTCTGCGAGCGGCGCCGGCGTCGAGAGTTTCTGCCTGCGCCCGCGTGGGCGCAGTCGTCTCCGTGCCAGGCGGGTGTTTTGTTCCTTTCAGGGTCCGCTGGGCCAGAATGAACGCTGATGGTGCGCGCGCGGGAGGATCTGGAGGCATTGCTCCGGCGCGCGGGCCAGAGTGGTCTGTGGCAGCAGAGGGCCCAGGGCCGGGGCTCTGCCCGACAGCCCCTCGGGCGCAAGTTTCAGTCGGGCATGTCCCTCTACGGGGGAGTTGGGCAATGACAGTGCGGGCGCCGTTTGTATGTTGTATGTCGCGCAAGCCACGCGGGGTGCGCGCGCGTGGCGCGACGCGCCAGACAACAGTAGAAGGACGAGGAGCGAGGGCCCAGGCTCGAAGAGGACACGGGGGCGGGAACGAAACGTGAGGGGGGCCGAACAGTCGGCGCGGCAGCAGCAGGGAGTGGCAGGGGGAGGTGGGCGACGACAAAAGCGACGGGAGGAGACAGGTGAGCGTTGCTTGTGTCGGTCGCGCTCTAAAGATGCAGCGCTGCCTGCGCCATTTCGCCGTGGCGCTCGACATGGTTGAACCTGCTCATAGCTAGTGCAAGGAGCGAGCGAGGCCCGGCTCGCCCGCCAGCTTCTCCGCCTCTTTCCAGCAAGTTTCAGTGCTGGAGCTAAGCGTTCGAAGTCGCGCCGCCAGGTCTGCGGGCGGCCCGCGGGCCAGGACGTCCAGGTCGGGGTCGCGCACTACCAGGGGATTGTCAACGGTCGTCGCCATCGACGGCATCGCGTAGAGATGCAGCCAAAGGTCTTTTATGTTTATCTTCATCGTTGCACCCGGCGTCGACAATGACGCCGCGGTGCCTGGCGCGGCCCTGGCAGGGCGTGGGCGCCAGGACCTCGGCATGGGAGATGGCCAGGCCGGCGCGCGTGACCTTGCGCTTCAGGAAGTGAGACGGGCCCGAACTCTGCGGCTCGATGAACACGAGGCGCGCCGCGTCTGCGGCGTCGATGCTGCCATCGAGCTCCGCGGGCTTGTCGCCGCCGGGACCGCCTGGATTTGTTCGCGCGCACCCGCGCGCCGTGTGGCTGGTGGCGCAGGTGCACCAGACGTCGCTCGGCCTTCGCAGCCCCCGCTTCGTCCTCGTCTTCGGGTTGACGGCCAGCTACAGAGCTGGTAAGCACACCTATCGCATTCATAATGATTCGGCGCGTTCGGCTGTTGAATCCACAGGTCTGAACTCGGTCTGTTAGCCGAGCTAGGTCCGCAAACCTATTTGTATTATTCGAGTCGTCTTGACAGACGCTCTCGGTTTTCTGTGCTTAACTCGAGCTGTAGGACAGCTATAGAGCTGGTCAGGTGGGCGACCTCGCCCTCGGCGTCCTTGTAGCCATCTGGTCTGGTCCAGGTGCTCCTGCAGGGGGGGGCGCGTGCCCGCGTGCAGGGGTGGCACCCTGCGCGCGGCGCTCGCTTCACCCGGTTTGACGCAGGACCGACAGACAAGTTCGTCAAATATTGCGCGTGGCACCTGGGGGCGCAGGCTCGGCGCGCTTCTCAAGGGATGCATGGAGAATGTGCAGATCAGAAAAAAACAATTCGTAAAATCAGGTTCTGGCTGTCCCAACATAAGACCTAGCAGCTGTCGAGCGCGGCGACTGTTTCGCAGATCGCAGCCCCAGGGATGGCGAGGTCCAATCTGAATTAGGGTGTGACGTCACTCCGCTGGACCCCCAGCAGCTTTCGAAAGCGGCAACATTTCGCATGCCGGAACCCCACATGGATGGCGAGGTCTCATCTGAATCTGCGTGGCACGTCACTCCGCTGGTCGCCCCAGCAGTGGCGACAGTTTCGCAGATCGCAGCCCCACAGGGGTGGCGAGGTCGAGTCTGAATCTGCGTAGCGCGTCACTCCGCTGGACCCCCCAGCATCCCCGAAAGTGGCGACGCTTTCGCAGATCGCAGTCCCACAGGGGTGGCGAGGTCGTGTCTGGATCTGCGTAGCACGTCGCTCCGCTGGACCCCCCAGCAACCCCCCGAATGTGGCGACAGTTTCGCAGGTCGCAGCTCCACGGGGAGGGCGAGGTCTAATATGTCGACATTCTCGCAAACCGCAGCCCCGCGGGGAGGGCGAGATCTAATCTGAATCTCCGTACCACGTCACTGCGATGGACCCCCAGCACTCCCCCTCAAGCGGCGACAGTTTCGCAGGTCGCACCCCCCCACTGTGGCGAGGTCCATTATGAATTTGCGTAGCACGTTACTCCGCTAGACTTTCCCAGCGAACCTGGACAGTGGCGACAATTTCGCAGGTCGCAGCTCCACGGGGAAGGCGAGGTCTAATCAGAATCAGCTTAGCACGTGATTCTGCTGGCAGCCTCGAGAGTGACATTTTCGCAAGCTGCAGCCCCATGGATGGCGAGGTCGAATCTGCATTTGCGTACCACGTCACTGCGATGGACCCCAGCAACCCCCCGAAAGTGACGACAGTTTCGCAGGTCACCCCCCCCACCGCGGCGAGGTGTAATATGAATTTGCGTAGCACGTTGCTCCGTTGGACTTCCCCAGCAGTTCTCGAACATGGCGACAGTTTTGCAGATCGCAGCTCCACGGGGAGGGCGAGGTCTAATCTGAATCTGCGTAGCACGTGATTCTGCTTGACCCCGCAGCAGCTTTCGAAAATTGCGGCATGTTCGCAGATCGCAGCCCCACAGGGCTTGCTGCGAGGTGTATTATGCATATGCGTAGCACGTCACTCCATTGGACTGCCCAGCATTCCTCGAAAGTGGCGACGTGTTCGCATATCGCAGCCCTGCAGTGATGATCAGGTAGGAGGCAAGCTGGCATGCAGTATAGAGCGAGGTAAGAGACAGGTCGGAAGAATGAGAAGAGGAGGGGTGCGGGAAGGAGGCGCGCGACCAGTGCTCTTTTCATCTCGAGTACTCATCTGTTTCATGTTGTGTTTTTTATTTACATTTACGTGTCTATAGATGTATGTAGTTGTATGTTTCTATATATGTGTGCGTATATATACACATATATATAACGAACTGTGTGTAGAACAACTTATTTACGACAAATATGATAGCATGAATAGCCATATTTTCATGTTTGAAGTCAACAACCTATTTCGAATACTTGTTTTTTTCTCCTCCCAAATCCGCCTGTAGGAGGACATGCCCGACTTAAGCTTAAGCCCGATTGAGGGCCTGGTGCCCTCGAGGTCGGCGTACAGCCTTGTTGGCGGTTGCGTGTACCTCACGGTCACTATCGTGCAGACCTGGAACCAGTCCGTGCACAGGATCCACGCCTGGGATTTTTCCAAATCCACCGATTTTGAAACGTGTCCCCGAGAGTCTCGCGGAGCGTTGGATGCCGATACTTCCTGCCCTACCAGGGGCGGGGCTGCATCCATCTCAAGAGCCCTGTGAGATCCTGGGGGTATGAGTAACAGGGCACCGAGAAGCGCTCGCCCTGGGGTATGGATGATGGTGATTCCCAGCGCACTTGGGAGTTCGGAGTAGGATGCGGACCCAGACGTCCTCCCATGTGTTTTTTTCAGTCCGCTGCCCCAGAGCGTTCGACCTACCCCAGGGGTAGTTTTGCATCCCGCATCCAATGTTGATGATCCCATTGCTAGAAGGCGGCCCCTCGGGGCCGACATGAAGGAAACACCCAGCGATCGAAAGCTCATATCGCCAGACATCTGGGGATGATGGAGCATGTGGGCCCTCGACGTCCCCATATCGGTGGATGTGGGTGAGCCGCTGGGGAGGGCAGGACCTGGCAGCACTACGCCCGCAAGGAGCGCGAACGGGCCGAGCTCATGGGCTTCATCCGCGAGGCGCGCGAGCGGGGCGCCCTGCCGCCGAGCGACGTGCACGGCTTCGAGTGACGCGCGGCGCCTGCGGGGCCGCGGCGCGCGCGCCGCCGCGACGCCCGGCCCAGACCTCCGACGTCCTGGCGTCTGCGGGTCGTGAGCTCCAGGAGCTCACTGCCCTCGGACCAAACGTGAAAGAGCGACCCTTCGCCGCAGTGACCTCTGGTGCGCGCCCACGGGGGCTTCCCGATCGCCGAGTGCAGTGCGAGGGCAGCGTCTTGCGCGCTTGTGTAGTTGGCCCCCCCCCCAGCGGCCCTCAAGAAGCCGCGCACCAGAGGTCACTCTTGCCCAGGGCCACTCTTGCCTGTAGGGCCGCCGACGGCCGCTGCAGGCCGCGAGGCCGCCGATGTCGACCCGCCGATGTCGACCCGCAGGGGTGCGAGCTGCGGCCCCGTGGCGGCGGCGCTTCGTCTTCGAGGGCTCGGGGGGGGACGCTGATTCTGATGTGTTCGCACATGCTCTGGGCCTTAGGGCGGCTTCCTCGTCGCCACGGCTGCATCAGCCTCGACATTCTGGCCAGTGCGCGCACTGGGACGGGTCCGGGGGCCCATCCTATGGGGGATGCGCTGGGCGCCCCAGGGAGCGCCTCGTCTTCAAGGAGCCGAAGGGTCGATCTCTCCGGAAGGCAGCGGATGGCCCTCCGCGGCTACTGCAACTTCGCCCTGGAAGAGGGCGCGTGCCATCAGGCGCCTGGCCCCGGCCCGGCGTGGCCCCAGCGCAGCGCCTGGTGCAGGCGCCGCAGCAGCAGCGTCTGTTGCTGATCGCGGCGCAGCTGCAGACGCAACCAGCGCAGCGCCCAGTGCCAGCGCAGTGCCCGTGTTCACTCGCTTGTCACCTGCGTACCACGAGACCTGATTCTTTGTGCTGGGTAAGGTGGCTCTTGGGGGAACAGGGAGGGCCCGCGGAGGCCAGCCAGAACAGGGGAGGCTTCGCCGGCGGAAGCCTGGGGGCGGCGGCGGAATTGCAGAGGCGAGCGAGTTCCCCAAGAGAGGGCAACGCTGGCGCACCCAGGGCCCTCATGGGCGGGCAGGGCGGGCGGACCCCAACGGGCGGGTCGGGCCAGGCCAGCCCAGCGGGTCCTGACCCGCGGGTCGGGCACGAGGCCCCCGATGGGCGGGTCAGGCGGGCGGAACCTTCGCGAGTGGGGACACGAGCGAGCATTATTTGTCGTGTAGGACCATGATCCAGCGGTCCCGCATGGAAGCATACCCAGACCCACGCGGACGCGCACGGATCCGCACCGCCCCGCACGGACCCAATCGGACCAATACCCAGACAGCCCAACGCAGAGTCCGTACAGACCCAGGTCCAGACCCAGACTTTTCCGCACCGACCCGCTCGGACCCAGAACACGACCCACGGACCGCCCCGCACGGAGCCCGCGCGAAGCCGAACGGACCCACGCGGGCCCAGACTCAGACCCAGACCCGCGAACGGTCTTCCACGGAACCCGCACGGACCCGTGCGCACCCGTATCCATACCCAGACCCAGAAAGACCCGCTCCGACCAGCACGGAATCACGCGGACCCGTACATGGCCTCACATGGAGCCCGCACGGATTCACGCGGACCAAGACCCACATATTGCCCCGCACGGACCCGCGCGGACCCGCGCGAACGCAGCCGAACCCGCACGGAGCAGCGCGGACTCAGAGGAGCTCAGAGCCCGCGCGGACCCTTCTGGATCCACACGGAACCAGACCCAGACCCGCGGACCGCCTCTCACGCGGCGCCCGTGCGGGTCCCACACAGACCCAGTACCATACCCAGATAGACCCGAGCGGAGCCCGCACGGACCCGCACGGATGCACACGGACTCAGACCCAGATCCAGACCCAGGCGAAGCCCGCACGGTCCCACTTGGACCCACACGGACCCGAACCCAGACGGGCCGGCGCGGACCCGCGCGGACCACCTGCGGGGAGCCGCTCGTGGCCGCACTGACAGCTGAGCCGCACGGAGCCGCACGGAGCTGCACGGACCCACGCGGACTCGACCCACGCGGACCCAGCTGTATCCGTACGGACCAACGGACGGCCTTCCGCGTGGCCCGCACGGACCCATGCAGACGCATACTCAGACCCAGACGTACCCACACGGACCCGCATGGACCCACGCGGACCCATACTTGGCTCTACACGGTCACTCATGGACACAGACCGAGACGGTACCTGCGCGGACCTGCCGACCCGCACGGATTTACGCGGACCCGCACGGATTCGCATGGAGCCGCATGGGCCCGCACGGAGCCGCACGGTCCCGAGCGTACCCGCACGTACCCGCACGGATCCGCGTGGATCCACACGGACGCGTGCGGACTCGCATGGGTCCGCATGGACCCGCACGAAACCACGCGGACCCGCAAGGTCTATTTTGTCCGGAAGGTAGGGTTTGGCGGGCGAGGGTGTCAGGCAGGGCGGGGGCTCGGCAGCGGGGTGGGGGCCCTCAAAGGCAGGGTCCAGCGGGGGAGGGTGTGTTAGATCCGGTGGGGGCGTGGCGAATGGGCGGAGTCGGAAACTGGTGGGAGTTGGAGTTCTTCCTCCAAGAAAGTCCAGCGGTGTGTCAGGGCAGGTGTAGGCGTGTCGACCTGGCGCGAAGTCGAAAACTGATTGGGGTGGGGGGGTCCTCAAAGGTGGGGTCCAGCGGGCGAGGGTGTCAAAGCAGGTGGGGGCGTGGCGATTGGGACAGGGTCTGATATTTGGGGGGGGGCCCAGCGGGGGAGGCTGTCAGGCCAAGTGGCGACGTGGCGTCTGGGGCGGGGTCAGATGTTTGTGGGACCCTCAGCGGCAGGGCCCAGCGGGCAAGGGTGTCAGAGTCGGAAAGATGCAGCGGGGGCGTCAGAGTAGGAGGGCGTGGCGATCGGGGTGGAGTCGGAAACTGAAGGGGTGGGGAGTCGTATTCAAAAGGGAGTGTCCAGCGGGCCAAACCATGCGGGGGCGTGGCGGCTTGGGCAGAGTCGGGAATGGGACGGGGGCGAGGGCTTCTTCAAAGGTAGTGTCCAGCGGGTGAGGGTGTGGTGGGGGCGTTGCGACTGCGGCAGGGTCGGAGAGTAGAGGGACTTGGGGGTCCGGCGGGCTAGGGTGCGGCGACTGGGGCAGAGTGGGAGCCCAGAGGGAGTGCGGGGCGTCTACTGGGCGAGGGCCTTTGGCCAGGTAGGGGAGTGGTGAGCGTGGGGGGGGGCGGGACGTGGAAGGTGTGGAGTATCTTTCAAGGAGAGGCTCACGGAGTGAGGGTGTCAGGCAAGGGGGTGGCGAGAGCGAGGTCAGGGTCGCGGGGCTGAGGGCTCATTGAGAGGATCTGAGTGGCCGAAGCGTCCACGGTGCAAGATCAATGTATGTGGATGGAAATGTCATCGCGCACACTTCTGAGGGATAGTCCCTCTTGAACTGGGTGAGCGGTTCGGATCTTGCTTCCCAGGTGAGCAAGCCTCAGCCGTACGACTTCGAGGAGAACAGGTTCTTCTACAACCACGCTGTCAAGGCCGTTCGGGCCTCTGCTGTGAAGCACTCCAACTTGGATCTGTGGGGGAACCTCCACAGATCAAGAGCTTCGCATGCTTGCCTCCCTCATAAGAGCAGTCGGCATGTATGTAATGGCCTTCGGCCCATCCCGCCACAGTGCCTGGGTTGTGGGTCGGAACTCTTAGGGATTAGTTGTTTGATCTAAACGGTTGGACCCCGCCCTCCCCAGTCGGTTTGGGTTTCTTCTTTCTCCCTGCCATTGCCTCTGCTGCTCCTCTTTCCCCCTCTCTCCCGCTCAAGCCTTCGGGGCTCAAAGCCCTGGAGCCGACCTCAGGAGGTCTGGGCGCCCCCCGGGCGCCCGGAAGCGCGCGTGCGATGGCCGGCTGGCGCCTGGCGCCGGCGGGTCCCACACGCGGGCTGGTTGCGCTGGCTGCCAGCGCGGCCGCCCCGCTCAGCACAGCTGCGGCCCGCGCCGGATGGGCTGGCCCAGCCGAGGCCCGCGAGGCCCTGCCTGGGCGCACCGTGCCGTACTACGACGACTCCGAGTACGGCGCGGAAACGACGAGCTAGAGGAGGGAGGTGAGGCTGCTGGCAGCACCCAGGCGCCGCCCGACAGCGGGCCGCCGGGCGCGCCCCCCCCGCCGCCCACCCACGCCGCCGGAGGAGTCGACAACGCCAGCAACGCCACCAGCGACCTCAGGGATGGGGAGTCATGGATCGGCGGCTGGGGTGTATGGGCGCTGGGATGGAGGCCCCTGGGTGAAGGCACCTGGGCCTGGCGCCTGAGCGGCATGGGCGGGGGCGCATACGAGAAGCTGGACAGCCTCGGAAACGCCTTCTCGACCCACGCCGAGACGGGCTGGCAGACCAAGGACGGCGGCTGGTTCTTCTTACGCCCTCGAGAAGCTGGGCCTGACGGTCTTCGGGGCCGCCTGGCCAGTCGTGGCGTGGACGTTCATCTTCCTGACCTTCCTCGCGATGCTCGCCTTCCTCACCCACATTTGCCGGGCGCTGTTGGCCCCCTGCGCCGCCGCCCTCTGGTTGATTGGTCTTCTGGCGCGGTGCTTCAAGTGCCGCCGGCGAGAGCCTGGCGATGCAGCTGCCGAAAGGTACCTGCCGCCGGCTCCGCCTGCCCTTACCCAGATTCACTGGATGGGGCCAGAGACCGGACCCGCTACGACCACCGAGTACTACAGCAAGAAGGTGAAGGGTCGTGGAACGGGGAGGAGGCCCAACGACGTGTTGGGTAAAATTGACGACCATGTCGCCCGTGTGCGGATCGACCTCGCGGAGCCCAAGCGGATCGACCGGACGGGCCTTTGGGTGGATTACCTAAGCGTGAAGGGGGCCAGCTCACGCACCCTCCGCCAGAAGCTGGAGACGCTCGAGGGTCGCTCGATCCACCTGCGCCGCAACGTGGCCTGCCGTGACCGGCCTGGGGGAATCCACTGCAAAGAATACGCAGCTCTGGACTCCGAGGCGATCGTGGACATCGGCTCCCATGCCAAGTTCACCTCCTGCCGCGGCATCTTCCTACTCTGGCGAGCTTTCGGATCTCGGGCGTGGCACGTGGCGGATCATTGTGTTCACATGCTGCATCTTGTCCTGCGGATGCTCTTTCTGCTGCTGGCGACGCCGCCGTCGTAAGACAGGCGCTGCGGAGCCAGGCGTTGCAGGAAGTGTCGCAGAGGTCCTTGATGAGGAATCCGAGTCAGAGGTGGAGGCTGAGGACAAGCCATGTGAAGCAGTTCGGGTGGGCATCGTACTTCGTGGAGGCGCTCGCCCCTTGGCCCCTGACGGCTGCCGTGACGCCGCAGAGGCCGAGCCAACCACCCTGCTCATGGAGGATGGTCAGGCTTCCGATCTCCCGCCTCCTAGCGACGGGAGGAACTCCTTCGCCCATCTCTGCGCCCGTCATTCGCAGGTCTACCGAGCCACACGGTATCGTGACAAGTGCTCCATGGTGACCTGCTACCGCCAGGCAGTCGGCAACGCCGAAGGTGCACCACTTTGTCTCCTTCACCTGGGTGGAGAAGCGGGCAGGGCTGCGCAGGCCACTGCTGCCGCGCCGAATCGCGGGCTCTTCTCGGGCTTGAGGCGGCAGGTGGCCCGCAGCCGCAGCCCTCGGGCTCGCGAGCCGGGGGCCCCTGCAGCGACGGCTCCCCCAGCAGATGGAGCCCGAGGGCCAGAGGGTCAGCGTGGGCAGGCAGCACCACGCCCGTCCCCTCGCGACGCGCCGTCTGCGCCACGGGCTCCACCCGCCAGCGTTCGGTTCGAGGCCTCACTTTCACCAAGGGTGCCCTTGCCGCGGAGCGCCAGCCCCGCCCCGAGTAAGGAGATCGACCAGGGCGACCACCTGGCGCTACGCGTTCGGGCGCAGTGGGCAGCCGGACC